AGAATATTCTATTTCTGACTAGATTCGGATTTGGAGGTAGAAGCTCTCAGAGAGGAGAGCCTCTATCTCTTGGTGATCTGCTCCTGGAGGTTTTCTTCATTCTCTTGGCCAAAAGCTTAGCATACTCTGCAGCCTCCTTTTTATTCTTAGTGAGCTGTTGATTCAGAAAAATGTGCCAGCGCTTGTGCTGCAGGACACATGGAGTAATAAGGAGCTGACTATTCGGTGTGTTGGTCCTGGGGTTTCTTGCCTTCTTTGTTCGGTGGCTTTCTCACAACATATTGACAGATATCATCTTCCTTGGAAAGACTGAAGAGTTTGTGAATTCTCTTGGCTCTTTTGAGCCCTAGGTGACAAGGCACAGTAGATCAGTCAATCCTGGGATATCCTTCTAACCTTTCTTGACAATAACCAAGCTGAGAACACTCAGATTGGTATCCACAATGCAACCCAGGACAGATTTGTCCTTCCTCTCTCCAGTTCTCCGTGGTATTTAACAGGAGTGTCCCTTACTCAGCAGCAGACAAACTCAGCCATGGGTCCAGGCACCCTGCTTCCTGGGAAAATGTTGTTTGTTGTTTCCACCACTGATCTGGACAACATATCCCTTCCACTCATTACCAAGAGAGTCAGCAGCAAATTTGTGACCATTTGCTTCTTATAAAATGTATGAAGTTTGTGTTCATTGTCCATTTCAATGAGTTTTTTGGCGGCCAGTGGCTGGGAAGGAGATGCTCAGCTTTATGGCGAAGTAGCCAATTGCCCCAGTGAGGAAAAGAGGTAGACCAGGTTTTATTTTTGCCATTTTGCTGTTTCTTTTTCTTTTGTACTTTCCCTTGGTGTCTCTGTGTGAAGGATTTTCCTTAGAATATCTAGGAGAGTTAACTTTGTTTTCACAAATTCCTCAAGTTTCTGCTTTCCTGTGAATGATCTCATTTCTCCTTCATATATGATGGACAGCTTTACTGGGTACAGGATCCTCAACTAGCAATTGTTTTCTTTCAACTTTATGTATATGCCATCCCATTGTCTTCTTCCTGACATAGTTTCTGCTGAGAGATCAGAACATAATCTGTTTCTCTTTTGTAGGTGACTCTTTGTTTTTCTCCTGCTGCTTTTAGTATTTTATCATTATCTTTCATTTTGAACAATTTAACAATGATATGTCTTGGTGCTTTTCTTTTTGGGTCTAGTCTATTTTGTATTCACTGAGCTTCCTGAATGTGGGTTTCTGCATTCTTCAAAATATCTGAGAAGTTTTCTTCTAGAACCTCTTCCATAATTTTCTCAGTTATTTCCCTGTCCCTCACATGTTCCAACCATACATATATTGTTCTTTTTTATGTCATCCAACATAATTTTAATGTTTTGTTCCTTTTCTTTATGCCTCATCTCTGATTTTTCTTCTGTTTCCATTGTGGTTCTTGTCTTCCAGCTAGCTCACTGACTCTGTGTTCCATCTCTTCTGTTCTACTTTTTTGTTCCTCCTGTGTGTTGGACACTCCTTCCACTTAGGTCCTAATATTCTGTATTGGATTTTCATGCATTTCTATTATTTCCAGTGCTGTGTTGGTCCAATCCTCTCTGTTCTGTAGTTTTTTTAAAGGTATTGTACCTCTTTATAGTTTCAATTATTTCTTCTATCTTTTATATTTGCTTCTGTAGTTATTCAAGTTCCTCCATGCTCATATATTTCTTCTGGTTCCCTGTTTGTGAGTTATTTGGTTTTTTAATAGCTTCCATTGTTTCCTCCATCATTTGCATCTTCTTTTGCAGCTTTTCAAATAACTCCAAATCAATATATTTCCTCTAGTTATCTGACTCTGGGATATTCAGTAGTTCTGCAGTATATTCTGCTTTTTTTGCTACCTGCTGTTAGCAAGTTAGGCTGTTTCTGTGTTAAGTTGTTGAAAGTTCTTATCTTTATGCTGCTATTGGTTAGTTGCCAGCTTAAATAGTTCAATCTTTGTAGTGGGCCACTCACTCTACTAGAAATCCTTTCTGAAAATTTGCCTTTCCTAAAGTCCTTCATGTTCTCTCTGGTTTGCAATGCATCCCTTCAGGAATATCATCTTAATGTAGTCCCCTCTCTCAAACTTATTTTTTTCTCTCGTTTGTTTGTGGAGTGGCAGGGTGGTATGAGCCTAGATGCTCCACTTAAGCAGTTTTTGTCCAGGGAGATTTGAAGGCAGTTCTTTCTCTGGCATCTCAGCATACCTACTGTGAAAGTGAGTCTCTCTCATGCTTGTAGCTTCCTGTTCTAAACTCAGTATTATCCCTGGGATGATCCCATGGCAGCAGGGATCCCCAAAAGGAGAAGCCTTTCTCCAGGGGAGTTTCAAGCCTTTCTTTCCCCCATACCTGAAAGTATTGGCTCTGGGAAAGAGTGTCTCTCCTGATGAGCTCTTGTCTCCTGAAGTCTTTTGTCCTCCTTTGTGGAGTGGCATGAGACCAGGAACACCAACTTAAGCAGTTTCTGTCCAGAGGTTTTGAAGACAGCTCTCTCTGGCACCTCAGTGTGCCAGCTATGAAAATAAGTAGAAATTTTCTTTAGTAACAGAAAGGAGTCTTGATGGCACAGTGTGTAGAGTACCTGGCTGCTAACTAAAAGGTTGGTAGTTTGAATCTTATAGACACTGCACAATAGAAAAGTTGAGTAGTCTCCTCTTGCAAAGATTGACAGCCTTAAAAAGCCGTGGAGCATCAGTATGAGTTGACATTACAGTGTGTTAGTCACAGAAGCCAGATAAATGTGTTTATTTGAAATGCTTATAAAATGTATCAAAATCTTTGGAGAAAAGGTAAAAGATTACCTTACTAAGTTAAGTGAATTGTTTAGTAGGATTCAAAAGTGTAAGTCTGAGTAAAGAATGATAGGCAGTTCACAAAACTGCTTTCTCTTTCTCTCTGTGCCATTGTCAGAACTGACTGTTGGCCCACCAGTGGGTTTTCCAAAGCTGTACATAGCATGGAAGGAGATTGCCTATTTTTCCCCCAAAGAGTTGCTGCAGGATTTGAACCCCAGAAAGGCTTGGCCTTTGAGTTAGCTGTGCAATACAAATGGACTATGCTACTGTTGTTGTTGTTATGTGCTATGCTACTAGAGCTCCATAATATATATAATCATCCTTGTTCCTTGGTTATCAGAGATACCATGATCAGTTTCACTAGGTAAGAATGCAGTGCACACACAACTCTAGAGTATAGTAGATTTTCCTGTTTCTAATAATAACCCAGAAACATTTAATTAGTGATTTCTCAAGCCAATACACTCACATGTATAGTAGGTAGATGTTAGAATGTGGTGAAGAAAAACAGGATTTATAAGAAAGAAGAGCATGAAGAACAGACGAGAACTTGTTAGAACATTTTTTGGAGTTAAAGGGAGTAGCTGACAGTTTAGAGCCTCAGCTGAGGTATTTCTATTCCACCCTAGAACAATAGAGACATCAGAGAAAACAATTTCAGTTATTTGTGCATTCTCTGGTAAACCTAGAGGGGCAGCAATGAGCACAGTGGATAAGCCATCTCTATCTTCTCTACCACTTTACTCTGTGGGAACCTCTGCCTTAGGGCAATCTTGCACAAGTGCCAGATTCAGAAATTTTACCAGAAGTTTGTGGTGTTAGTTAGTTCATTCATTTAAGAAAACCCAACCTCACAAGATAGGCTTTGCAATTTATTCTTTTGGGCTGCAAGTCTTTATTTACTATAATACTGTTTTGACTCTATCCTGAAAACTTATTTTGATGGAGGTGTCATGATCGTCCTACACATGATTTTTCTGTCTCTGCCTCTTTCTTCCCAGTTCCATTAGTGTGTCCTGATTTTCATGGATATAAGCTCAGGATAACTTTCACTCTTCTTTATAATTAGAGCCTTTCTGATTAGGTAAGCCTGGTTGTAGAGTCTGGATGGTGAAAATGGTTTATATTATTTTTATTGTTAACCAGAAAACCGTACGTGTGCATCTACCTAGAGCTGTCTTGGAAGAAGTGTTTGGCAATCTGCCAAATAAGCAGCAAGGGAAAATTCGGTTGTATCAAACAGACCGAACTGAGCCGAAAACCATTTACCGTTGATGCCAACTCATAGTTACTCAGGGTGTCAGAGAGTAGAATTGTGCTCCAGAAGATTTTCCCTCTCTTCCAATCAGTTGCTGCTCAGAGCTGACCTTCCATAGTGTTTCTGGATGTAGATCTAGTGGGACTAGATTCATTCTTTTTCCTACAGAGCCACTGGTGGATTTGAACCTCCAGAGAAGCCTGACCTTGAAGGTTAGCCACACGACTCATCTGCACCACTTAGGGACATGTCAGAGGTCACCACCATGAGTTGGATTAGACTCCACAGTTAAGTGGTGAGAAATAGTAAGAGACAAATAGATGATTGCTGACCTGCTGTTCCAAAGTCAGCGCCTCTCTCTGGCGGTTCGAGTCCGCCAGCGGCTCCTTGGGAGAAAGACCATTTACTGCAGTTGAAAACCCGCTAGAGGGGCTGGTTCCAAATCGATGGCAATGGAGTGGGGAGATTCAAGAAGGAAAATGAGTTAGAGATGCAACACTCAATTTATTTTATTGTCTTACCTGACTCTTATGGTTTTAGGTTTTGGCGTGTAAAGCGTCCTGAAGAATTAAAGGGCGGGGAACATGAGCACGGAAGAAACAGAGGATGATGGGCCATCACTCCGTGAAGGCGAGACGTCGCCCCCTACCGGACAGGAGCCGCCCACTCCCCCGGAGGAGCCGCCCACTCCCCCGGAAGAGCCGCCCACTCTGCCGGAGGAACCGGAAGCTTCGGAGGAACCGCTGCAGTCAGATTCGGAAGATGCTCTTGAACCTACTTTGGGCGAGGGTGGCTCCCCAGAAAGTCCGCGTCCTGCAGCACGTAAAAGGCTGACCCCCCTTGCAGCGGACGGCAAGCTACTCCTTCCAGAGAGTGGTAGTATGCGGAATCCGCGTAGATTTTCTCGGAAAATGGCCCCGCGTTTGGATGTGTCTAATGGTATATTCGCTGAGTCCTCTACCCGCAGGACTTCCAAGTATTTTCGGAGTATGAGTGGCGTTCCCAATCTGCAGGAAACTTTAAAGGAGAAACAGGTGTTTCTTTTTGAGATTTTCTTTTTTTTTCATACCCAGCATTTTAATTTTAAATGAAGTAGCCTGGGGGCCTTTCTCCTCTCTTATCCCAGTTCCTAACACGTGGTTTTCATTCTGTAGGCCAGATTTAGAGAGGCAAGGGAAAACCGAAGAATGAAAATAGATTCTTCATATAAATATATATTTGAAATCCTAGCAGAATGCCTCAACCTGGACATAGGAACTGTGGAAGAATTAATTTTGGATTGTCCATCTGTGAGTTTAAGTCATTATTTTTAAGATTGTAGTAAATACGTATATGTAAGGAAACATTTGCCATTTTACAATCTTTATATGTACAGTTTGTTGTTGTTATGTACCCTCAAGGCAAACCAATTCATAACCGACCTCTAGCAGGTTTTCAGAGGCTATAAATCACATGGGAGGAGATGGGCCGTTTTCTCCCTCAGAGCAGCTGGTGTTAACTCGTCTCAAATTTTCCCATCATTTTTAATGTGTTGGGTTTTTTGTTTGTTTTTTTTTTAAGAAGTGGTTTATTTAAGAGTCATTAAATGTTGTCCACAAGCAACAAAACATTGAGAAGAACAGACTGGAATTTTACTGATTGTTGAAGAAACCTTATTTTGTATACCTTTGTGGCCAGGAGGGACCGATCTTGGAGAAGGACATCATGCTTGGAAGGGTGAAGGAACATCATAGGACAGGAAGACCCCGGATGAGATGGATTGATACAGTAACTGGGGCATTGGGCTTATGAGTCAGACTGGCTCAGGACAGGGCAGACATCAGAGCTGTTGTATATAGAGTCTCCATGAGTCACAGGCGACTTGATGGCACATAACACCATACTCAAAACTGGTGGCATAGTGGGTAAGGAGTTGTGCTGCCAACCCAAAAGCAGATGGTTCAAAGTTACCAGCTTCCTTGAAGGAGAAAGACGAGCAGTCTCCTTCCATGTGATTTACAGCCTCTGAAAACCCGCCAGAGGGATCAGCTGTGAGTTTGTTCCCACTTGATGGCAGTGAACAAGCACATCCTCATTTGAGCGGTAGTTCTGTTATGGAAGAATATTAAGCAATAACAATAGGGGTACAATTTTAACTCAGGATAGCTTTAGCCATTCAAGGCAGAATTGAGCACCATTAGAGTAGTATTTAGAAAGTACAAGTTGCTCAAATTTCATAGGCTAATAATTTGGGCCCCCTCCCCCCCATAAGTATGAGCTAAGGAATAGGACTGCTATGTGTGTATAGCAGAAAATAAAGAGACACTTAGAAGTGAGGTTATCTTAAGCTTCCGTGTACCAGGGAAGCCCTGTGGTATCCCAGTGTCCTACCATAACATTGTCTACATGTAGTATTCCAATTGTGAATGATTTATTTGTACGATCACTCATAATTCCATATGATGGCAGCTCTCAGAAGCAGTATCATAGCTTCTCTTCTAGTAACTGTTCTAAACTTGGAATAACACAACCATTAGCTGCTAGAGTTGTTTTCCTCGGTTTTAGAAGTGCACAGAGATGGAGACCAAGCAAGACCAATGAGCAGGTTCAGGCTAGTGGTGAGCCAATTTTTCCACTTATTACACTGGTGAATGAATGTGATATGTTTATCATACTGGGGGTCCCTGTCCATTGGTTTTTATAGTCGATTTGAGCAAAATCCTGTAACTTGTTTCAGAAGCTGTGGAATGATACCTACCTCTTGGGTAATTCAGTGTGCTTAAATTCAGCAAAGTTGTCTGCTTTAGTTCTTCCAGGATTCATAAAATTTTATTTGGGATGATTCTGACAAGTTTGCTTATTTTCCTCCTTCCTTGGAGTGCAGTTGTCACAGTGAGATGGGGGATGGGACCAATGTAAAAAGATTAGTAGCTCCAAATGATAAACTTTCTTTAATGTCAGAGGATAAAGATTGTCTGGAGATGGGCACATAAAACAAAAGGTACCACAGCAAGCAGCTGGAGGGAGGTGTGTTTGCCCAGGTCACCAAAGTTGCTGGAGCAGATAGGTGTGATTAGGACTGACTTCATGGGCACATAGATTATGCAGTCCTGCAGGCTCTTGATCTTAAAAGGGGCCTTTGTTTAGTTTAATGCTCTGCTAGATCTACCTTGATATTAGTAATTTTTTAACAAGAAGTTCCTCAATTTTTATTTTGCACTGGACTTCAAAATTCTGTAGCTATTTCAGAGTGTAGATTATACCGCTTGCATAACATTTGCTTTTACAAAGTTCTTTTTGTTTGTTTGATTAGTTGCTTGCATTTTGCTGAGTTATCTTTTTACTTCTCCTCTCTAGACTATTTTGACTTTTCTGGACATCCTAGCTACTTTCAAAGTAAAAACAATCAGCATAAAACAACTCTGTACACATCCTTGAACCTTCAGCTGTTGATGCTGAGCTGAAGGAAAGACAAGTTTCCACAGATGTTTCTCGTCAGGTCTAGATTGTAAGCCTCTTCCCAGACCTAAATTTGGTTAGGAAGAAAAACTGGGTAGATGATCAACTTTGTTTCTTCCAAGCATTGACTAACTCCTGCAACTGGAAACCAGGAAACTCAACAAAGTGTGTAGGTTAGCAGTGAAATCTGGCCAGTGGTTTCAGATGTTAGGGGATGGGCCACCTCTAGTACCCTTCAGCATTTGTCATGGAACTTTGGAGACTGGCGTTCTCTGCTCGGAGTAAATCTTTCCCACTGACTTGTGGGCATGTTTGCCTCAAATTCAGCATTTGCCATTTCTGGAGTATATCTCAGATTCTGGGTCCATGTGGTCAGGTTCTACTTTTAAGGCTGTCACAGACCAGACCAGCTGCTGCTTAAACTTTGAGGATTGGATTAACTGGGTCTCAGGAGAAGAATCAAGACAGGAGTGGTATTTCATTCAGAGTTGTTTGTGAGCATGCCACACTATGGTGAAGGGAAGATAATGCAGCAAGGAGATAAACCAGGGCCAAAAGTTGAGAGAGATTAGAGTGCTTGTTGGCTTCTTCAGGAACAGTAATAAGATATATATAAATTGACATCCAGGGTGGTGGCCAAGTAAGTAAGAAGATGGACCATGGAATGGGGGTTTGGTGTAGTGATTCAGGAAACAGGTTGTTTGGAAAAATAATTCCTTTTGTTTGATGTCTATGTGTGCAGTTCAGGGGGCACCTCAAAAGGCAGAGCAATAGAAAATGAGATGGTTGCTGGTATACTCTGCTCCACTCTTCTCTGTGGCTAGGAAGATTCACCTCCCTCAATGTATTCCATCACCTAGGCTTCCTGTCCCTCTGTCTTGTACTTGATTTGGCCATTTGAAAGGACCTCACAGGAGATTGAAGGACAGAAGAGAGAAGCCTTATCCTTCTATTTCTTGCTTTCCATTACTTATGGCCTTGGCCTGATCTTTCCATAATAACTCCTCCTCCCAAGCTGTTCACTGCCACAGTTCCACTTCTTTACTTGGTTCCAGTTATATAATTTTCTTTTTTACTGATTTAGGCTTTGGGGTAGGGTTGCCTTCCTACTATTAGTAGGCTTGTTGTTCCTTTTTATGTCATAGATTCTCATAACCCTGCTCAGACCTTGAGAAGTAGCCTCTCTATTATTCTAAAGTTTCTTCAAGAAAACCACCTGTGTGTGGCTCTTTTTCTTGCTAGGATCCTGACTAAACAGAGGTTTGTAGTTCTGTTGCCATTCACATTTCTTTTCTTTTTTTGTTTTTTTTTGTTTGACTTCCTCCTTCATTTACATGGCTCCATATACTGTAGGCATTACATTATGGCTTATTTAACCTTATTTTCCAAAGTTAAGGTAATAGCCTTGAAGTATGGATTTTATTGTGTGTGTGTGTGTGTGTGTGTGTGTGTATGTACTGTCAAATCAGATCTGACTGGTACAGGAGGAGATTGTCCCTCCTTCCCCAGCAGAGCATCTGGTGGTTCGAACCGTGCGCCTCTGGGATTGTAGTTGCAGTTCCTTGCCACTAGGCCACCAGAGCTCCCCGAAGTATGGATTTTATGATAAGAACAGTCCCGTTACTCAGAGTTGTTTTACAGTCTCAGTTTTCATTGTTGGTTTGGCAAACAGTTCTACAGATACAATCAGTGGGTTACGGATTCTACCTCAACTGTGTCCTTGAATGCAAACTTCACATGAGTTTTTCTCATGACAGCAGTTCAGGAGCCCCACCTGTTGCCATTCACAGCATTTTGTGTAGCTGGACAGGTGAAAGAAGTGCGTGAAAAGTGAGCTGCAGTGAAGGGACCAGGCCCCATGCACGGGAGCAGTGGGTGGGTATGGAGGAGTCCATTTCACTGTGTGAGTGCATGAAGGTGCATACATTGACAGAGCCAGGTCACAGTGTCAATGTATTTGAAAGGAGAGTGAAACAGTGAAAGAAAACTCAGACACAAATTAATCTTTAATTTTCACTTCAACTGTGAGATGTCATTTCAGCAACAATAGCAAAGTTCAACGGGACAGCAAACGGCAAGTTCTGACAAGGTTGTGGAGAGATTGGAACTATTACTCACTTCTTGTGGAAATATCAGATTGTAGAGCCACTGTGGAGGGTGGTCTGGTGGTTTCTCAAAAAGTTGAAAATGTGTACACACACACACACACATGCATAACTTTTTTGAGAAAGCACCAGACCAAACACACACACACACACACACACACACACACACACACACACACACACACATATTTGGAAGTAGGAGTGGCATCCACTTCCTAAACAACATACCTCTGGAAACTATGAACTTTGGTAAACAACGAAAGTTATAGAAAGGCTTCAGGCCTTTTGATCATAGAGTTGCTGTAAGTTGTGCTCGACTCGATGGCAATCAACAACAACAATAAGGTAATAGCAGATGATTCTGTGGAAAGAGCACAGATCTGTAGATTATATGGCTGTTATTCAGTCCTAGACATCTGTGAATCCTTCACTTAAATGACTTTGAGTTTTCTGTTGGAGCGATATAATATCTGGTTCAAGGTCGTAGAAGTTTAGATAAAATAACTTGTAAAGTACTATGTAATATAAAGGGAACGCTGGTGGCCTAGTGGGTAGAAATGTGTTGTCAACCCAAAGGAAGGTGGTTTGAATTCATCAGCTCTGTAGAAAAAGATGGTCAGTCTCCTCTTGTGAAATTTTCAGCTTCTGAAAATGTCCTGGAGGGTCAGTCATAACTAAACAACAGTGAGCTTAAACTTAATGTAGTGTCAATGAATTTTTAATTTACAATATGGATTTATTTCTTT